GATCCCTCTATCCCGACTTCCCCGATTGCATGCTTTTTATACCCAACATTTTTTCTTAGTCGAAAAACTCTACGAAGGTTACTGGTAGATTGACTACGGCATGCGTTCACAGGAGTACCCCCCCCCCCCCTCTCCCATGTTTGCCCACCACTCGCACAATCTCCCTCGAGTGCGGTAATGCCCTCTTTCAGTACGTGTCTTTCATTTTATTTTATTTTTACCCCCCCTTCTTTACTGAGGATCGAGGATGTTGTGTTAGTTGACAACGCTTGCAGGTCCCCTGCGGTAAAGGCGGGCCTTGTTGCGTTCGGGCCCGATGCCTACGCCCCTCTGCTGCCCTGCTCTCCCCGCTACTTGATTTCCGTGTTTTGTTGTTAGTGCAACCCCTTGTCTCTCCCGCAGTTTGTGGTCAAGTGTCGACCGTGTCCTTCCAGCAAGTCCATATCACGATCAAGAACGTATCTAGTAGATCCGACTCGCTCAAGATATGTAGCCACCCGTAAAAGGGAAACCTTTGGCTTCGAAAAAAGGACCTCCATTAAAAAATAACCCTCCCGTTTTGGTTGTTCCGACTGCACCGACGCCACCACCACGTGTAAAAAAAAAGACACATTCGAAAAAAAAACTCTAAAAAAAGTACTGCGTATTCAAGAGATCCCCTCCCTTCGTTTCGGTTGTACCAACTGCACCCCCGCCCCCCGCCCCCCCCGCCCCGCCCCGCCCCAAAAATATAATCGCTTCGACATCAAATCGATCGGACGGGACGGTGAGAGAAGGAGGGCGTGCAGAGGGCGGAGGGGCTGATCAAGTTCATGACACCGGAGGAGCGGCGTACTCCCAAGCTGCTCATCCTCGACCCGACCTCCCAGGCGCGGTGCAGGAGGATAGCCAGGGACGCCGGGGTCAAGCTCTCGGCCGTCAGCGTGAGTGTGTCCTCCTGCCTTGTGTACGTTTGCTCTACATCGTTTTGATGTATTTTGTTGTAGGGATGTACTTCGTGTTATGTGCAACCCACGGAATCGTATTAGCGTCCCAGCGAGAACCAATGACACGCCATGTTTATGCTTGTACCTTGCCTACCAATGGTGTACCATGGGCTACGTGTACCGTAACTTTGAAACAAAGACTCATGTTTATTCGCCTGCTTGTTAACTTTACTTTCCTCTCTGTCTTGGCACGATGCGCCTTGTTTAACATTACTTACATTTGTGACTTACCTTTGCTCTACTCTTTGGCAGGCGGTATATAGAGTGTAGTGTAGGATCGACGGCTTTTCTTATTCATCACCTTCGTTT